GAATTGCGTGACGGATAGGTGTGGTGACGCACTCTTCGGCTGCTCGGCCTCGAGTGGTCTCTGCCCTTCCCTCTTCCCTCTAATACAAGACTTTCCCATCTCGGCCCTCACTGGCCGAGCTGCCTTTCTCCACAAACCTACAAGCTTCGGCCTACCCGGTTTATCCAACACTCTCTCTATATATATATACATTGAATTGTGCATTGTGCACTGGCAACAATTTTCTGTCTGTCTATCTGTCTCCCTCTTCTCTGGGTCCCTTGGTCTCTCTCTGCCGTCTGTCTACGCGTCTGTACCCGCCCCCGTCTGTCGGCGTGTCGCTCCCTCTCGCAGTCATCACCCCCAATTTTGACGTACCTGTGTCACCACCCGCGACAGCTAGGGAAGAGCACGCAGGTGTTCAAGTTCTGTTGGCTTGGTGCACCCTCGCCGACTGCTTCCCTTGCACCTTGCCCGCAAATTCACAGACTATTCGAAGGTGGAAATTTGTGGCCGCTGATTGCTAGAATATGTAGCGACCCAGCTGGTGAGGTGATGTCTTACGATGGTACGCATATAACTATCGGTTGTGTGGATTGAGAGAAGCAACCTGTAAATAAAAGCACTGCCGTGGTACTGCTGTAGATGCTTCGCACACACAGATGCGAAATGTAGCAAAACAAAACGAGGTGTGAAATGTTGACGAGATACTGATATTCCACACCCAAACAGAAACACATGCACTCACCTCGGCCAATCGGGCGTCGGCTCAACTTCGAAATGCATATACCCGCCGGCGGCGGCCCCGAACGCATCAGCAACCAGCGTGGCCGAAACCCCCGATTCTTCGATCAACTCGGTTCTGACTAGCGCCAAGCAGGGTGGGGATAGCATCACCATAGCCATGATACCGAAAAGGCCACCATATCGAGCCATGCCAACCCAGTTTGGGGCGGAACAGGTGCTCACGGCTCGCCCACCCAACTCGTGCAGCAAAGGTAAGTTGCAGCACAAGTCCGGCGGGGGCGCGCAGATGCGAATATTGATACACACGATACCCCGGAGCCCCTGAAAATGTAGCGTTCAGAAGGAAAGCGTTGTTTGTGGAAGGCGTTTGTTGAATTCGAAAGAAAGCAGGGGACGGGTGCTGAGCGTCCCCTGCGTGCAATGTCTTCAGTCTTCTTGTGCACCCGCGTCTCGGGGAAGAGAACGCTAGTGCAGTCAAACAACTAGTTGAGGAAGCAAGAGGAAGGAGCGTGGAAGTTAGGGCCTTGATCGATTTT